CTCGGCTGTTTCTTAACATCATTCAGGTCATACTTCACTGAAGGGAGCAAGAGAAAACACATCAGTGTTACATCAATGAAATTACAGCAGAATACTTTCAAAGAGATAACTAACCAATGAAGATGAGCAGGAGGCCAACAATGACCTGCAGTGAGATGGACAGTGAGATCAGAGCGATGAGAGGAACGTAGAAGCGGTGCTGTGCTCCTGAATGCAGCACTGTCTTCAGCTGAGAGGAGTTCGCCATCAGAAGAGCCACATCCAGCATGCTCTGCGCTGCACTCTTCTTAGTAGCGTAATGATTCATGTTGAAGCGATGCTGTGCGTTCCCTGCGCCAGGAGCCTGACAGGGAGTGAGTATAATAACATTCATTGGCCTGTCCACTCAAGATCATGTAATTAGGAAATAGTTAAGTAAAAAGTAGTTAATGAGTGTTAGACAAGAGTGAATGAACACACCTCATGAAAAATCTTCAGAAAGAAAACGTAACAAATGTTTAAATCTGTGGCACGTTTAGGCTGAAAGATGTCTGTTCCTCAAGCAAGACAAGTTCTTTCCACAGGACAGTATCACTGACAGCTTAAGCAAATATGAAACTTCACACAGCACTGCTTGTACACACAACTGAAGGACCTTTGCAACAAGTATGAGCATCACTTAGGTGCTATCAAGGGGATGTTGTCTTGTGGATAGTCTGCTTGCATGCAACAAAACCAGATATTTAACAAATGAATTCATATAAAGCATGTATTATTGCCTCTGTAGAGTTACAAGATGTTATCTGTGCTGTAAAATGCTTTTGGAACACTGCATAATTTTTAACAAACAAACAAGAAAAAGATTAGAAAGCAGACATCTATCACTCACCTCTCCACGTTGATTATGGGCTTGATTCTCCATTTTCTTCGGGTTTTGTTTAGCAACAGAAATGTTTACAGGAAGCTCGCAAACATAACAGCTCAGCCGGAGATGTGTTTTACACTAAAACTCCTGGCTCTCTCCAAAAGATGTGCTTTTGAACATTGAGAGAAAGACCCTCCCATTAGTGTCACCAATGAGACACTACCCGACCAGTAACGCTTGTCTGTCTGCAGCTGTTGCACTGTTTGTGTGAGAGACGACGAGGTTTCAGACAGACAATAACTTTAGTTAACAAATGTAAATTATCTATAAACTAAAAACACCTTGTGTTTCTAGAAGGTGAGTCTTTATTTAAAAAAAACAGGTCATGACAGTGATTACAAATCAAACACTGGCATATACTAATCACAGGCTTTTGTAAAGAAAGAGGATTATAGTTTATAGAGGTTTAGGAGTATTCTATTAGAAAGCAATTTTATAAGTGGAATGCTTATTGATCAGTGTCTTGGAGTTCAAAAAACAACAGTTTGTTATTTATTCCTAGTATAAATCTGCCATAGTGGTGTTATAAATCACACAGTGCTTTGGGAACAGTCCTGAACATGTAAATAAGTGGTCTGATTGGTTATGTTTGACACGTCATGTCTTTCACTAATTAAATCCAAGCTGTAGGTTGTAGATTTCTGCTTAGTCCTTGAGGTTAGGATTGGTGAAGGGAGAGAAAAGCCACATATCTGTTCTTTAGCTCCTCCAACCGTTTGGCTGAAAAAAAAAAAAA